AAGTATGTGAATTTCCTAGTTTTATATACTGAAAGGAACTAGAAGCAGTGGCTTCCAGTAGTGATGGACCTACCTAGCGTCCAGATTTTGGTATCTAAATTCCATTCTTCAGTAATCTTGCAGAGGCAGATTCCAGGACTTGGGCAGGGAAAATACAAGTTGAGCCTAGAGCATTTTGTGGTCTAGAAAGTCTAGAAGTGCTAAGATCCAAAAACCAAAATCAATGAGCAACACTGAAAGGGTAAAGGTCAATCAGAAAGAGTTTCCAATAGGAGTTAGAACAACCTGAGCAAATAAATAATGACAGTAATGGATTACAGCTCCAAATTAAATGAAAACTCATGAATCCATACTGATAAAAATAAGAAAATAAATAAACAAATTGGAGAGAAGAGATGATTCTTTCCAGCAGCTGAATTCCAATTAGTACATCTAGAAGGAATGAGATAAACAGAAAATCACTATTAGAACACCACATGTCAAAATTAGTGGGCAAAATTAAAGCAAAGACAAGATATTTGAGCCAGACACAAGTGGCATATGGCTGTAATCCTAGTGACTCAGGAGGCTGAGGCAGAAGGATTGCAAATTTGAGGCCAGACTGGGCAATTTAGAGTGAACCTGTTTCAAAATAAAAATGGCTGGATATATCTCAGCGCCTCCCTGCTAAAAAAAGGATATTTTCAGTATTTCACCAAAACTATTTATTAATCACATAGGTAAAGTAGTAATTGTTCCACTACTAGAGAAAACCAGAAGATGCCACTGTAATTGAGAGGTCCAAGTTAAAATCACAGGGCTGGAGTTGTGGCTCAGCTGTAGAGCGCTTGCCTACCATATGTGAGTAGGGTTTAATCCTCAGCACCACATAAAAACAAAATAAAGACATTGTATCCACCTATAACTAAAAAATATTTTTAAGAAGTTAAAATCACAAGTGATAAATATAGATACCATCTATCCTTTGCTGTGATGTATTGAGAAGAGCATATTGTCTCCTTCCTGTCCAATGATGTATAATCTTAATTATGAGAACATAGCAAACTCAAACTGAGAAACACCTCAAAATAACAGAGCACTGGTCTTAAAAAAAGCATCAAGGTTGAGCTGGGGGTGTAACTTAGTGGTTGACCACTTGCATTGAGTGAGACCCTGGCTTCCATCCTCCATTAACACAGGTATCAAGGTCACAAAAGACAAAAAAAACAAGAAACTGTCAGACTAGAAACTAAGAAGACATGACAATTAATTGAATTTGGAATCCTGTATTTGATCCTAAAACAAACAAACAAAAAAGAATATTATGGAAAAACTTGGAGATCCAAATAAATTCTGTAGTTAATGTATCCACTCTGAATGTCTTAGTTGTGAGATATATATATATATATATTTGGTACTAGGGATTGAACTCAGGGTGCTTAATCACCGAGCTACAACTCCAGCCTTTTTTTTTTTTTGTATTTTGAGACAGGGTATCCCTAAGTTGCTGAGGCTGACCTCAAACTTGTCATTTTCCTGCCTCAGCCTCCCAAGTTTCTGGAATTATGGGCACACACCACCACACCCAGCAGTTTTGATAATTATTTTATGGATATGTAAAATATTAACATGCAGGGGAGCTGACTGAAACATGTACTAGAACTCTATTTTTGTAATTTTTCTGTAATTCTAAATTTATCTCAAAATGAAACAATTGGGCTGAGGGTATAGCTCAGTGGCAGTGCGGTTACCTAGCATGTGAGAAGCCCTGGGTTGGAATCCCAGCACAAGAAAGAAGACGTGAAGGAAAACGAAGGGAAGAGAAAGGAATGAGGAAAGGGAAGGATAGGGAGAAAGAAAAAAGGGAGAGAGAGAAAAAAATTCATAAAATAAAAACACAAAGAAATACATGAGGGCTGGGGTTGTGGCTCAGCAGTAGAGCGCTCCCCTGGCATGTGCAAGACCCTGGGTTCGATCCTCAGCACCACATAAAAATAAATAAGTGAAATAAAGATATTGTGTTCTAACTACACTAAAAAATAAACATTAAAAAAAAGAAATACATGAGAATGATAAACATCAAACTCAGGATAATAGTTAACTCTTATGGAAAGTAGGTGAATGAAATCAGAAACTTCAACTGTAGGAGGAATGTTTATTTCTCATGCTGTGTAGAGGGCACGTTAGACATTTAGCATATTTTTGTTACATTTATATGCCTATCCGACTTTTGAATTGGTTGACACTTTGGCCTATAATTTATTCATTCAGACAATATTTATCAAGTACCTCTTTTAAAATGTGGTTCCTGACACCAGGAAATTCAATTTCGTCATCTCCTGAGATTCCAACTTACTTTTGTATTGGCTGGGGGCATAGAATCTCTGGCAAATTCTGCTGTGGTGCTAAGAAAGCAGCAAAACGCTGTGTACATGAATGGGTGTGTCTGAATTCCAACAAGTTATTTATAAAAACAAGTGTGTGTAGCTTGCTGACCTGGAGCCTAATAGAATCTAGACTCTGTTTTAACTACAACTAACAGACCACAGGATGGAGCTCTGAGTACATTTTTATGACTGGCGGATATTCCATATGTGAAATCAGATGCACTTCCAAGAGCAGGTGCAGCTGAACCCACTCTTCCAAACCCTCCCTCAAAAATCCACTATTACATGCTAATTTCACATTAGTCAGATGCTAGGAGAAAGGGAGAAACAGATGGGATCTTCTGATGAGTGCTGAAACCCCAAAATTGAAAATCTTCACTATTCCAGGAAAGATCTAGGGAAAACCTCCTTCCCACCTACTAGTTTCTCCAATTATTTATTTCAACATGATTTTGATGTTTATCACACACTCTACTAAACTACAGTTAGTTCTAGAATATTTACTAAATACTTCATATCAGTATTTTTAAAGGGTATTTCGTAGAATCTAAACTACCCAATTTCTCTCTGTAGAGCTCTAATGTGGACCCTCTCTTGACCACAGGAGAAAAGGAAAGAGGCCCCAACTAGGTAGAGACAGGAAGCCTGGGAAACACAACTGGAAACATTTCCATAGGAGTTCCCACCTATACCTACTGTCCTGCATGTGGTATGAGAAAATGTAAAGTCCTTTCCACCTCTTCCCATCTTCCTCTTTCTACCCCATCCCTGATTCAAGAAAATTCACCTGTAATAAAGAATTCTTAGATATGCTGGGCTGAGGACACCAGAATTAACCAATAAAATGGTAAAAACACACCAGCATCAAAGAACTAGAATTCATATGAAAGCCTCAAAGAAATAGAATTCATATGAAAGGAATTTTCCAAATTGTTGCACCATTTAAACAATGATAAGGAATTTAGGAAACCTTAAGTGTTTTCTTTTAAGTTTAATATTTGCAGTTTGAACTGCTCTTCTGATACTGCATCTCCTTGAATTTATGACTAAAAATAGACTTAAAAACAAATTATCCCCAAACAAGATATATGTGGTTTAGGGCATAAGGCCTTGGGTGTGGTCCCCTAGCATCACACACACACACACACACACACAAAAAAAAGGAAGCCCATAAACACATGACAGTTCTCAGGATCATGTCTCTTGGGAAATGCAAATAAAAGCCATAATGAAATACCACATCACAAACATTAGGATGGCTACCTTAAAAGAAAAAGGGAGGACTGGGATGTAGCTCAATGGTAGTATGCTTTCCTGGCACGCGAGAAGCCTTGGGTTTGATCCCCAGCATCACATGCAAAAGAAAAGAACAAGTGTTGGCAAGGATGTAGAGAAACTGGAACCCTTATGCATTACTCTTGGGAATATAAAATGGTACAGCCGTTGTGGAAAGCAGTTTGGCATTTTCTCAGAGTTAAACATAGCACTATCATATGACCTAGCAATCTCACTCCCTAGGTAAAGATCCAAAAGAACTGAAAATATGGGGCTCAAATAGACTTCTGTACACCAACGTTTGTAGTGGTGTAACTCACCACAGCCAAAAGATGAAACAGCTCAAGTGATCAACAGATGAATGAATAAGCATTATGTGATACACGCATACAATGGAGTATTCTTCATTCGTAAAAATGCAATTTTTTTTTTTGGTACCCAGGATTTAACCCAGAGGTGCTTCACCACTGTCACATACCCAGCCTTTTTAAATTTTGAGACAGGATCTTGCTAAATTGCTGAGGTTGGCCTCGAACTTGCAATTCTCCTGCGTTAGCCTCCTAAGTCACTAGATTGCAAGCATGCACCACCAACCCAGCAATAAAAATTTTGACATATGCCACAATTATGGATGGACTTTGAAACATGCTAAGTGAACTAAGACACAGGACAAATACTGTATGATTCCACTTATAATAAGCTACCTGGAAAAGACAAATCCAGACAAAGCAGGATTGTGGTTACTAGGGGCTGGAGAGAGGGAAGAATGGGAAGTTATTGTATAAGGGGTACAGTTTGTTAGTGATGAATACACTTTGGGTATACATAGTAGTGATGGTTAAATACCACTGTGCCCATATTTAGATGCTACGGAATTGTACACTTATAAATGTTGGTGCTAGGGATAGAATCCAGCCAGGGCTTTGTGCCTAATAGGCTAGAGTCCTACTTTTTTTTTTTTTTTTTTTGAGATGCTGGCAATTGAACTCGGGAGCTTGTGCACACCAAGTGTTCTACCACTGATATATATCTCCAGCCTGATAAATATTATATTATGTATATTTTACCACAATTTAAAAACCCTAAATCATCCACTGTAATTAGTAATTAAAAGCTCACTATTGTATGGCATTGCACTAAATAATAACTGTTTTCACAGTACCCACATGGATTTGTCTTGTTTTGTGCAATGTTTAAGTAGGCAAATGGGCAATTACTAACATCATGCCTTCTAAAGGCCACATGCTACTTCCAATAAAATCAGGAAAATTGCCTGTTCTGAAACTCTCATACAATTTCCAGGCCCAACCAGACCCCACAACACACCCCTTATGGAGATCAGCTTCAGGGGACTTGGAACACATTAAAAACAGCATATATTTTATTTTCAAGCACACAACACCAAAATTTTCTCTGCATGAATTCTTCTCATACAGAATTGGGCATATTGAAAGCAAGTTGTTTCTGGTGAGGTTTCTGATGATCAGGAATCAGGACGTAGTAGCCCTAAAGTTAACAGTCTTGTACCCACCATCCTCAAAACCAAGACAGCATAGTTTACTTTCAAAGTAAAAGATAGTTACCATATCCTTCAATCCATAAAGCATTTCACTGTGAAATGATTCATGTCGACTCTGCATAATTCTTCTTATACATAATTCACTTCAAGTGAGATGAGGGACGAGTATAAAACATGCATTATTTGAAATATGCTCAGTATGAAAAGGCAGAACTTTATAATTTATCTTAAAAGAAAGAGTAAGTTCCAGGAGCTTTTTATTGTTTGAATAATAGAACACATAAAACCAGGCAGAGAAGTCCCTAAGGAAATGATGGTCATGTTCCACTGTTATTTGCCCTTTGGTCCTTCATCTTCTAAGCACTTATTATATTTTCTTTTAAGGACATTAGATATTTATTTTGATCACAAATGCAATCCGAGTGTGAATACATAAATGTGGCATCTTTTATTCCCCCCCTCCATGTTCCTTTAAATAGAAAAAAGTGCTAAATGTCTCTTCATAGCCTATTTGGCCACAGTTGTTCCACCTATGGTTTTAAAAACAGACTGCAACTTGATCTTCTGAAATCTTTCTTGAACTACAGCTCATTCTGTTAAAGAAATCCTGGGAAAAAAAGTTCTACTGATATTGTCGATAGTCTCCAAAAGGTGAGGATGGTAACTGGGTGGAAGGCAACTGGGAGGGGTCTTCAGCAAACTGAGGACCTGCAATTAAGAAATAAAAATGATTCTTAAATAACCTGAATGTTATATAATTAAAAAGAACAAGTCTCTGTATAAAGTAAACCAATCAACTAAAAAATTATGTGCTACACTAGAGCTGTAATCTGAATTTCTTTTTAGACCTGCCTATTTCCTCAAGAGGTCTGGAAAACCTTCAAATTTGTTGTAACATAACAGATGTCTTCCATTTTTTTCCAGAATGAACAGCTCTCAAATGTTATGCCAGAAAAATCAGATGGATTCATTATAGCAAAAAGCAATACTTGAGGTTTTTTTTGGTTGGGGAAGGTAAAGGTACCGGGGATTCAACTCAGGGGCACTTGACCACTGAGCCACATCCCCACCCCTATTTTGTATTTTATTTAGAGACAGGGTCTCACTGAGTTGCTTTAAGCCTCGCTTTTACTGAGGCTGGCTTTGAACTTGTGATCTTCCTGCCTCAGCCTCCCAAGCCACTGGGGACTACAGGCATGCACCACTGTGCCCGGTAATACTCAAGTTTTTAAAGCAATTGTAATACCAAGCTGACATGTATCAATATTGGAAAAATCTCTCCCACCTCTTCACACATTTTTCAGTAGCTATTTAAAATCATTTTTACCAACTGGGAGCAGTGATGCGTGCCTATAATCCCAGAGATTCGGGAGGATGAGGCAGGAAGATCACAAGTTCAAGATCAGCCTGGGTGCCAATCCCAAAAAACCAAAGTCCAAATGTTTTCTCTAAGAAGTGGATGCTCATCCATAAGGGAGAAGAGGGGAGGGAATATTGGGAGAGAAAGATGGTGGAATGAGATGTGCATTATTACCCTATATACGGGTATGATTGCACAAATGGTGTGACTCTAAATTATGTACAACCAAAGAAATGAAAAGTTATGCTCCATTTGTGTAAAAAAAAAAAAAAAAAAAAAAAAGATCAGTCTGGGCAACTTAACAAGACCCTGTCTCAAAATAAAAAATAAAAAGGGCTGGGGATGTAGCTCAGTGGTAAAGCAGCCTGGGTTCAATCCCCAATACCATACACACATACACTCAGAATTATTTTCACCAAGTTTAAGTACTTAGCCATGTTTTAAAAGAATTCAGTAATCCAATTTATGTAACCAATTAAGTATGGAATAAATGAAATAGGAAGATATCCCCTAGCTTGCTATAGAACTAAGTCTTAGTTTAGTTTTCAAAGGATGAGGGGCCCTGGGAACTAAGAAAAAATGTGACACAGTGGCGCATGCCTGTAATCCCAGAGGCTCAGGAGGCTGAGGCAAAAGGATTGCGAGTTTAAAGCCAGCCTCAGCAAAAAGCGAGGGTCTAAGCAACTCAGTGAGACCCTGTCTCTAAATAAAATACAAAATAGGGCTGGGGATGTGGCTCAGTGGTCGAGTGCCCTGAGTTCAATCTCTGGTACCACTCTCCCCCGCCAAAAAATATTTATAGAGGAATAAACAATCTTTTTTACTTTAGGGAAACTGAAACAGGCAAAAACATATCTAGGGGGAAAAAAAGAAGTAAAATGGTAAAACTCCCTGAATCTTTCTAAATACTTCTACTCTAATGATACATTTTTATTTCACTATAAAAGCAATATCTATTCATATCAGAAAACCTGAGAAGACACTGGATGGAAAAGACAAATCAAAGATAATCACTGTTATCATTTAGATACAGGTCTAGCTAATCTCTTTTTCATTATTTTAAGAACTTACTTTCTTTTTTGGTTTTGTTGTTTTGCAGTGTTGTGGGCTGAACAGCCAGGGATTTGCGCCTGGCGGGCAAATGCTCTACCACCGAGTTAATCCTCGGCCCCCCACCTTTTTAAAATTTTGACTTTGAGCCAGGGTCTTGTAAAGTTGCCCAAGCTGACCTTATACTTGCAATCCTCACAAGTTACTAAGATGTGTAAGTTAATTAGAAAAATATGATTACTTCTCAAAGATCTTCCCCCTATACAACATTTTAAAAACATATCTCTTGTCTAAAAATAAATGTGCCACTTTTGGGTTGCTTCTACATAAATGCTGAATTTTGATTACTCAAAAGGAGATTCCCTCTGAGGAAAAAAGCTTAAAGCAAAGTAACCAAGGCTAATCTCTATCTATAAGATAACATAACTATCTAAGTTTTTGTTATATCCATATCTGAATTTCTGAAAATATCAAATTCTCCTGATGTTTCATGTGAAGTCTTTTTTTTTTTTTTAAATCTTATTTTTTTAGTTGTAGGTGGACACATACCTTTGTTTTATTTCTATGCGGTGCTGAGGATCGAACCCAGTGTCTCACGCATGCCAGGCAAGCGCTCTACCTCTGAGCCACAACCCCAGCCCTCATGTGAAGTCTTTTACACACAAAAAAACTAAAAAGCAAAATTAGAACATGACCATCATAATAGACTGTTAAAACAGAAACATAAAGTGAGATGGTCATCTAGATCATCCCACTGGCAACTAATGAGCAGTGCTCTCAAAAACTGTGCCAAAAAGATACTAATCTCTCCCTCAGTGCTTCAGGGAAATCAAATCAAATTGGGAGGTATGATCTATTCCTGATTCTATGCTGATTCTTTTCCAAGCTCCAAAAATAATTTTCATCATGTCTCACTATTCTGCCCATTTCCTTCCCCAAATGCCAGGTTAAGTTTTTTACTATCACAACCCTCATATCTCTGCTTCCTTCCAATATCAAGGAATATTTCCATTTTGACCCTGAACTTTTTAACAGTTAATAAACTGTAAAAGTTAATGACTGAGTAGATATTCCATGACCATGTAATGATCACTGAATCCACAATTTAACTTTTTCCCTGTGCATCAGACAAGAGGAACAATCAGCAACAAATTACATGACCAATTTCTCAAAGAGACTTTCCTTACAATCCTAACGCTACCCTCCAAAATATAAGCTACCTTCTACTACTCTACATTTTATTTTCTTCAAAACAAGCAATATTATTTTAAATAATCCATTGAACTGTTAATGTATTACCCCATGAGAATGTAAGTCTTCAAGAGTAGGTAAGGGCTGTCTTTTCTTTCTTTCTTTTTTTTTTTGTGGTACTGGGGATTGAACCCAAGGATGTTCTACCACTAAGATACATTCCCAACACTTTATTTTTGTTTGTTTGAATTTTTTTTGCAGTGCTGGGGACTGACCTTTTTTTATTTTTTGAGACAGGGTCCCACTAATTGCTGAGGCTCGCCTTGAACTTGTGATCCTCCTGCCTCAGCCTCCCAAATAGCTGGTATTACAGGCATGAACCACTGGGCCCAGCTAAAATGACTAGAAATTTCTTAGAATAAGCAAAGAAGCACCGATAAAACCCGAGACCCATAAAGAAAGACCAACAACAAATTAAGTAACGAAAGAATTTTTGTCAATGTGGTTAACTAAACATCACCAAACTTAGATTATGTTCATGTTCACTTTTTTGACTAGAAATTGAGCCTGTTATCATAGTCTTCATGAACTTCAGCATGTTAATACCTAATGTAGAAATCAAACTATCCCATTTTAGCAGACAAAATATTCTTTCTTAACATTAGGAAACCAGGGAATATAGCTCAATTGGTGGAGTGCTTACCTCAAATACACAAGGCCCTGGGTTCAATCCCCAGCACCATTAAAAAAAAAAAAAGCTCATTTAAAAAAAAATAAAATAAAATTTAGGAAACCATTCCAAAGAGCTACGGTATTAAGAAGAAAGAAGACTCACCATTGGGAAACTGTGTAGAGGCAAATCTTGTCAACAAGATACCAGCTCCTTCAATTAAAGCTAGGAGAATGCCACCCATTGCAGCTGACCCAACCATGGCCACTGGACCATCTGAAGACAATAACAAAGAGATTACTTTAAACGAAAGTGCTATCTGTATGGCATTCCCATTCCCAAACTCTTTCTCAATGTCTAGGACCCACAGTCAGCAAACTATGGCCCACAGGTCTAATTCAGGCCACTGCCTACTTTTGAAAATAGGTTGTATTAGAACACAGCCATGTTCTTTCACTTATACATTAGCTATGGATGCTTTCACACTATGACAGCAGAACTAATTCGTTGTGGCAAGGATCACAAAGTCCACAAAGCTTAAAATAATTACTATCTATCTGGCCTTTTACAAAAAAAAGTTTGCTCACCCCTAGGCTAAACCACAAAGTCCAAAGGAATTCTGGTTTGCTCTCTGTCTCAAAGATCCAGAAGTTGTTTTTAAGCTTTTTATTCAATGTGGCAGGTACTATTATTAATTCTAGAGTAATGATGAAATCATAGCACAAAAAGTTTGGCAGACTGCCTGGTCATACAGGTAATAAATGACCTGAGCAGGACCTGTAGTGCTCTTAACCATTCTCATGCACGGGTTAGAACTCCATGTTATATCCTCAAACATTCCAAATACATACCCTTACACTTTTTTTTCCCCCTCAAATGACCACATATATTCATGCTACATCAAATTAAGCAATGTTCACTTTTTATCTTATAGATGTCACTAAATTAAGACAGGAGAGGGCTTCCCAAAAAGTCTGTATATAATGATTGCTTACTTCTTGCTGCCAGTATAGCTCCTGTTAAGGCACCACTAGTGATGGAGTTCCAGGGATCTTCTTTTCCTCTGACTTGAACCATACTACAGTCAATCATAGAGAACAGGCCTCCCCAAACCGCAAAACTACCTATTTCATCGTAAAAACAAATAACAAATAAAAATTTCTTTTAATCCTTAGACTATTCATTTGAAACAACATTTACCACATTTGCGAAATTCTCACACTCCAAATATGTACAAACACTGAACAAAAGTCAGAATACTTTATCTTTTCTTTTTTTTTTTAATATTTTATTTACATTTTAGTTTTCGGCAGACACAACATCTTTGTTTGTATGTGGTGCTGAGGATTGAACCCGGGCCGCACACATGCCAGGCGAGCGTGCTACCGCTTGAGCCACATCCCCAGCCCCACTTTATCTTTTCTTTTTGGTGGTACTGTGGATCATTAGGCAAGGGATGACTTGCCACTCCAGTTACATCCTCAGCCCTAAATTTTTTCCTTCTTTCTTTTTTTGGTACTATATATTGAACCCAGGGGTGTTCTTCCACTGAGCCACCTCCTTGGCACTTTTTATTTTGAGATACAGTCTAAGTTGCTGAGGGTTTTGCTAAATTGCTGAGGCTGGGCTCAAACTTGGGATCCTCCTGCCTCAGTCTCCCAAGTTGCTAAAATTACAAGTGTATGCCACCACACCTGCATTATAATTTTCACTTCTAAGGAATGACAAGTAAAAAGTTTTCTTATGTCTTAAGAAAACAGTTGTCTCCACTTGGCTGTATCTTTGTATGTGAATATAATTTACATTTTTTTCATCTCCCTTTTCTCAGCTTCTGAATAACCAAGTTTTATAAGCACAATGCAAGCACCAATCCTTGCACAATGAGTAAAAGAGAACCTTGGAGAAAAACCCAACCAGCTTGATCAGTTTCTCTCTTATGAAATCCTAACCCTTCAGATCACATTCTCTTCAACTTTACATTACTCCAGAAACAATTTATTACTGACTCGCCAACACACTTTATTTTTTTTTTTTTTCCTGGAGCAGGGAAAGGGAAAAAAATTTTTAAACCCTGAACATCTGAAGGATAGACACAAGATTCTCAAGTATATAATTCAGTTAACTTTCCCACACATAAATCAAGAACGTATAGGGATCCTAGTTTGTGACAAGATGTTAAAACTAAAATCCTCACTGGCATAATCTAAACTAACAAAAAAAAATATATAATAGTTTCATCATCAAATTAACAGAAAAAAACAGACTAGAGTACAAATGGAAAATACTGCTTACCTCCCAATTGTGGAGCCCTGGTTCTAATAGCTGTCAAACTCCCTCGTAGTCTGTGGTTTACTCCCTATCACAAAACAAAAGGAATCGGTCCAGATTACTACACATTAGATGTGTAAGACATTACTAACATGCTGATGGGGATGCCAGAAATATTATCAAACTCCAGTTTCCAGGGAAGATATATAAGACCAATCCCCTACTTACCACTGGAGAATTTCGAAAACCTTTGATTGCTTGAAAGATACCACCACCTATGGTACCCATCGTAAAGGCCCCACCACAGTCATCCACAATTCGCCAGGGGCTAAGAACAGAGGAGGAAAAAAAAAATGACCTTATTTCTCATTCATAAGCCATAAAACTTTCTTCGCTAACACAATAAGGGATACAACAGATTCCAATTCAGGATCCACTGATATTAGCAAACATGTGGTCTATAAAATATATATATGTATGTATATATATATATTTTATATAATGTAGTTAGGCATGGTGGCCCACACCTGTAATCCTGGCTACTCATGAGGATGAGGCAGAAGGACCATGAATTCAAGGCCAGCCTGGGCAACGTAGCAAGACTCTATCTCAAATAAAAAAATAAGAAAGGGCTGGGGGGGGTGGGCTGAGGATGTGGCTCAAGCGGTAGCGTGCTCGCCTGGCATGCGCGGGACGCTGGGTTCGATCCTCAGCACCCCATAAAAAATAAAATAAAATAAAGATGTTGTCTCCACCAAAAACTAAAAAATAAATATTAAAAAAAAAAATTCTCTCTCTCAAAAAAAAAAAAAAAGGGCTGGGGATATAGTTCAGTCATAGAGCAACTTGGGTTCAATCCCCAGTACAAATAATAATAATAATTATGTGTGTATATATAGAGAGAAAGAGACAGAGACATATACACACACAAAGATAAAGGACACTGATAATATCTATATCTATTCAACCCCAAGTCATCTAAGCTAGAAGTAACAGAATTGGCATTAATTTCGTATTTTTTTTAAATATTTATTTTCTAGTTGTAGTTGAACACAATAGCTTTATTTAATTAATTTATTTATTTTTATGTGGTGTTGGGGATCAAACCCAGGGCCTCGCACATGCTAGGCAAGTGCTCTACTGCTGAGCCACAACCCCAGCCCCTAATTCCCTATTTTTAACAGGACTTTATTCATTCACTTACAATTACCAAATGTATTGTAAATCAGGCATTGTGCAAAAGCAAATAAACAAATACTCGGGAAATTATGCTGTAATTAACAATGCTGATTCAGTCTCTTAGAGATCAGGGTTAAGTTCTCCAGCTGCAATAAATTTCAAAGCTGAGACTCAGTGAATAAAGATTTAGTAATTACAGACAAAAACAAATTTTAAAAGTGTGCAGTTCTCCCCAGGCTTATGGAATCTAACTAAGCATTTGAAACTGTAGTCTACATCATATCCTTTTAACACACTGGAATAATACACAGTAATTTGAGGTTAAATTTGTAACCCAGCTTCCAAATGTAGCACCCTAACTTATGCAACACTAAAATCTGAGTAATTTGATAAGCAGAACAGAACTATTATTCTAAGAACCTGGCTTATAAAATTCTATGAGTAGTTAAATTCATTTTCTTTTATCTAGTCTCAAGGGAAAAGCACTACAATGAGCTACCTGCTCTTAAACTTATAAATTCAAATACTTGCTGGTTGGAGATTAATAACTAGAATAGAACTATAGTATTCTAAGAATCTGGCTTATTAAAGTCTGTGAGTAGTTAAATTCACTTTCTAAGTCCAAGATTGTTTTTTTAACCCTACATAACATTACAATTAGTTGAAGCTGAAATAAATCAGCATTTAAAAAAATGGATAAAGCCAGGCATGGTGGCAGACACGTATAATCCCAGCAATATGGGACGCTGAGACAGGAGATCACACGTTTCAGGCCAGCCTCAGCAATTTAGTGAGGCCCTAAACAAGTCAGCAAGACCCTATCTCAAAATAAAAAATAAAAAAAGGACTGAGGATAGCTCAATGGTAAAGCACCCCAGAGTTCAATCCCCAGTACTAAAAGAGAGGGAAAAAAAAAAAAAAAAACGATAAAAACAGCAGGCTTCAGATCAAAGAGCAGTTACAGTATTACAAGAGAATATCTGAAACAAAGGCAAGATGGAAACAGTTTGTGACTGTCTGGCTAAATCAAAAATGTTCCTACAGCAAAGTGATGGGCTGCAGAGGATAAAGCCCATTCCACAAGAATATAAATATCAGGTAAACGCAGGCAAGAGAGAACCAGTAAATGGACTGAAGTCCTAGTTCAGTGGTAGAGCGCTTGCCCAGCATGTGTGAGGCACTGGGTTCGATTCTCAGCACCACATATAAATAAATAAAGGTCCATTAACTAAAAAAAAAATTTAAAATAGAACCAGTAACTAACAATAATAAGATTAAAAGTATCATCCATATTTTAGGCAACCACTTATGCAAATACAATCAATGAATTCCAAAAATGCTAAGTTCTTTTCCTTTAGAATCCATAATACTTAACTTCGTAAAAGAACATTGCTGTCTCCTCTGCATCTCAGATTAAAAAAGAGGTTCATACAGAGATTAAGTAACTTGTTTAAGATCATATAAGCAGCAATTAGTAAAACCAATTAGAGTACAAAATCCAGTACTCTAAAGCCCCCCTATCTTTCCACTAGCCTAAAGGTTTGGTTTGGTTTTGATTTTGGTACTGGGGATTAAACTCAGGGGCACTATACCAATGAGCCACATCCCCAGTCCTTTTTGTTTTTTTTAAATTTTGAGACAGGGTCTCACTAAATTGATGAGGCTGGCTTTAAACTTAAAATCATCCTGTCTTGCCTCCCTAGCCCCTGGTATTACAGGCTAGTGCTACCACACCTAGCAGCCTAAAAGTTTTTGAAAAAAGAACTATGATGATTAAGCCCAAATGCTATATTAGACAGTGCTGGAGATAAGGAAAGCAATTAGGAAGTTATTGTAAAAGGCCTTAAGGCATCAAATAATATCATAACAATAAAAATTGAAAGAAAGGCAGAAATTTTGAAAGAATTCATACTGCGCATGTGGAAGGTGGGCAGTTGAGGGAGGAAAAAAATGCTAATAATTTAAGATTGGATGACTTGAAAGGTTGCTTCAGGACTATATTGCATGGTAGGCAAGTGCTCTACCACAGAGCCACACCCACAGCCCTGAATATCATTATTTTTATAAGATGATTAACTCAAGGAAATTACTTTACCTGTCCCCAACCATATCCAACAGCAATTTACAATGTGCTGAGCTCTGCATATAGAAGCACAATACACAAAGGGGGATAGATGAGGTAAGTGAGGAGCCAGGCAGTGCTTAAATAAGGTAACAGGGTTATTGCTAGCAAGGTAATAATTTAAACTCCTAGGCACTTTCACAACTTGAGGATACTTTGGTTCTTGTTCTTACACACACACACATACATACACACACACACACACACACACACACACGCCCTGCGCGATTAACCCAAATATCAAGATATAATTTTTCACTTATGACCTCAAAATCTTTAAGCTCGGATAACCTGAGACCTCTAACAGGTACTACATAATTTTACAATGATCTATTTATGTGCTTAACTTATTCGTCCTTTTTAAAAAAATATAACCAATTGCTAAGTACAGAGTTTTCACTCAATAAAAGGTGAATGAATGAATTTCTGTTTATGGCTTTTTAGAGAACATCCAACCATCTTTTTCTACTTCCCAGATATTTTTTTGCTTTCCTTCTTCCTCAAGAGAGAATTCCAAGCAGGAAAACGATGCTCTGGCCTAATGAGAGCTTATCCAGACCCCGTGGTTGAAATCTATGTTCCACTCATTTGATATGCTTCACCTTGTGGACACGTCACGATACAAATAAGGACTCAAGAATGGCACTTCCAGAGGGCGTGGTGGTGCACGCCTGTAATCCCAGCGATTCGGGAGGCTGAGACAGGAGGATCGCCAAGCTCGAGACCGGCCTCGGGGAACTTAGTGAGCCCCTCAACAACTTAGCGAGACCCTGTCTCAAAACAAAAAAAAAAATAAAAAGGATTGGGTTGTACTACAGTTCAGTGGTAAAGCGCCCTGGGTTCAATCCTCAGTACCAAAACAGAAAAAAGAATGGCACTCGCTCAGAGGTCGATTTTTCCCTTCTTCCATGCAGGCACTCAGCAAAACAAGGCGTCGGGAAGCGTCCAAGGTCACCTCAGTGGGTCAGCGGGCAGAGAGGATTACTGCTGACCCCGCACAAAGTCGACGCTCTCAGCCTCGGGGGACGAACCGGTTCCCAGGCTCCATCATGCCCAAGCCAGGACCGATCTCCTCACCATCCACCGCAAGGTCACTGGAGTCTTGGGGTGGGGGAGTACAGGACCGAGAAGCCAACTGGCTGCTCACGTCCGCACTGCCTGCGGTTATCAAGCCCACGTCGACGAGCTGCGCCTGGGTTCGGTTGGCACCTCGGGAGACTGAACAGGGGAAAACGAGGGCCGAGGGCAGAGGGGTAAAGAAAAGCAAGGGCAGCAGATGAAGCTCACCAAGGCTCTCTCGCATACTCCTCCATCTTGACTCCAGCCGCGCGGGCGAAGCCGGGCAAGCTGGGCGGAAACTGACCCCAGCGGCGGAAGTGATCCGAGAGGAGGGCGTTACGGTCTACGGGGATTGGTTCACCGCTTCCCTTCGCAGCCAATGGCAATTGGGGCTCCTGGGGGCAGTGCGTGGGCGGGGCTCAGGCCCGGCTCAGTGGGACTAGCCCCGCCCAGGTCCTCGAAGGCTGTGGGTCTGGGTTGTGTAGGCGAAGAGCTGCCAAGTGACAGAGTTCAAATTACTCAGTCACTGAAGTTCCGTGGCCTGAGATAAACCTGATATTATTCCGCTAGTGTTCATCAAGCTTCGTAACGGTTCCTTTTTTATTTTTTTCTTTTTCTTTTGAGATACTGGGGATGGAACCCAGGGCCGCGCACTTGCTAGGCAAGCATTTTACCCCTAAACAGCATCCCTGATCCTTTTAAATTTTTTTAATTTTGATACAGGGTATCACTAAGTTGCCCAGACTGACCTCCTGCTTGTGATCCTTGTGATCCTTGTGATCCTCCTGCCTCAGCCTCCCCAGTTGCGTCGCTGGGATTATAGGCATGAGCCACCAGACCCTTCTGATGCTGCTGCTGCTTCTTCTCCTTCTACTCTTCTTCCTCTCCCTCCTCCTCCTCCACTTCCTTCTCTTTCTTCTTCTTTTTCTGTGAACTGTGAGTTAATGCTATCTAATTCATTGTGAACTGTGAATCTCTTAGCAGCTACACATAGCTCCTTTAGGGGAGACGCTGTCTCATTGCCTTATAATCACAGTGCCTGAAATGTAATAGATGCTCAATAGATGTTTCTGAAATTGAACTGCTTGAGCCAGCTGAAAAGCCATGACCAACTGGACCCTTGATTTGAGGGTCTTGACTCCAGAACCTCTTCTGAGCCTCCCCACTAATGATCACAAAAAGGCATGAGAAATTTTATCCCTGAGAAAAGAAACTAAAATGATGAGAACCCATTAGATTGTTTTAGCTAACAGTCAGCAAAAACCAATCATGCGATGGCTATGGAAGGAGTTCTGTACTTTTGACTTTAAAATGTATACATTTTTTGTTTCATGGAAAAGTCAACGTAATAAATAGAAGACTTCAATGAAAAGTGAGGTTCCCTCCATTGGCTTGGAAATAACTTAAGCAGATGGATCAAACCCTTAATAGAACTAAAGATTAGCAATGTCTTATATGTGAGAAGAACAGTTCAGACTAGTCATCTGATTTGGATATATACATTCCAAAGGAGGCCTGTTTGGATTGTGTGAATGTCATTAGGCATACTTAAAACTAATTTATTCTATAAGCTGAAGAGAATAAGGGAGAGGGACAGTATGAGCCTAGAAGAAGGAATTCAGAGAGCAAGTATTTAATCAGCACTCCAGACATAAATATTTCAATGACTAGAGATTGGCACTCTCATGGGGCAAGGATAATTTTTCTGGCCTCACAGTCAGGTGGAGTGGGGGAGACTAAGTTTCTTTTCTTTGCTTCCTAAAGGAGCCATGTGTAGTTGCTGAGACCTTCATAGTTCACAACCAATTAGGAGGTGTTAATTCACAGTTGACAGAGATCTTTGCTCTTCCTTGGTCTCAATAGTCAAGCTCTTCCAACCTCTTTTTTTTTTATTTTGGCCTTTTATTAGTAATTAATAGTTTTTTTCTTATTCCTTATTCATTATGCAATCTTCTAATTATGATTTGGTTTCTGAATATATTTCCATATAGGAGTTAATTCCTGGGCCCATGCTTTTAACTATTCTTGTCTTTCTGGTAGTTAATATTGGTTTCTACATCTGCTTCTTTTGAACTTGGTTCTTTTGACTCAGTCATCAGGAATAGTCTAGGTTCTCCAGAGATATAGAACCAATAGTAGATAGATAGATAGATGATAAAAAAGAATGAGAAACTGAGTCATGCAGTGATGGAAGATGAGAAGTCTCATGATCTGCATTTGTAAGATGAAGACTCAAGAAAGCTGGCAGGATAGATTCACCCAAAGCCAAAGGCCCAAGAACCAGGGGAGTCAATGGTATAAATCCCAATTTGAAGGCAGGAGAAGATGAGATGAGGTGTCCCAGGTCAGCAGTAAGGCAGGAAAAGAAAGGAGGTTTTCTCCTCGATCTCTGATTCTATTTAGGCTCTTAGTGGATGATGTCCAGTCCCATCAGGAAGAACAGTCTCCTGAGAGTCCACCAATTCAAATGCTGTTTCCCATAGGGAACATCCTAACAGACATACCCCCAAACAATGTTTAATCTGGACACCCTGTGGCATAAGATTAACCATCACAATGCTGGTGCTCAGAGTTTACAAAGCTGAAGTCCAGATTCTAGCCTGTGGTTTTTCCAGCTGACTATTTCCTTTAGAGTAGCTATCCCTACTCTAAAGGAAATTACTGTTCTGGGAGACCCTCCTTAAGTGACTTGTAAACACTCTTAGACTTTTCCCTCTCTGTTTTCTTTACTTTCATTTTCTTCCAGTGCTGGGAATCGAACCCAGGATCACCACCATGCTAGGCAAGTACTCTACCACGGAGCTACACCCCCAGCCCAGCTTTGTTCTTTTTTTTTTTTTTTTTGTGTGTGTGTGTGTGTGGTAGTGGGGTATCAGGGATTGAACTCAGGGGCACTTGGTCTCTGGGCCACATCCCCAGCCCTATTTTGTATTTTATTTAGAAACAGGTCTCACTGAGTTTTTTAGTGCCTTGCTTTTGCTGATGCTGCTTTGAACTCTCGATATTCCTGCCTCAGCCTCCCATACCACTGAGATTACAGGAGGGCACCACCGGGCCCAGTTGTTTTTTTGTTGTTGTTGTTGTTGTTATTTTGTTTATGGTACCTGGGATTGAACTCAGGGGCACTCCACCACTGAGCCATATCCCCAGCCTTATTCTTGTATATTATTTAGAGACAGGGTCTCACAGAGTTGCTTAGTCCCTCACCATTGCTAAGGCTGGCTTTGAACTCATGATTCTCTTGTCTCAGCCTCCCTTGCCACTGGGATTACAGGCGTGTGCCACTGAGCCCGGCTCAGCTTGTTTATTTTTAACTGCAACAGGTAACAGGATTATTTTTGCCTGGGAAAGCCTGGGACTTAGGCTTTGTTGAAGAACATGTCACCTTTCCCTCAAAAATATCCTTGATTCCAGGGTGTTGAATCAAGAAACCTTTTGGAATAAAAGATCTTGGTACTCTAATCTCTAAGCCTGAGGGATTTCAGTGGTCCTTGGTGAAGAAATAGTGACAAGAAGGGATGATAAAAGAAAGCAGTGGAGGTATTTGAGAGAAAACCCATCATGAATGTGGGGGGAGTTGGAGTTGGTGATTCTAAACACCAAGGTGAGTTTTGTTGGAAGTTTTCAAGTATAGATAGAACTCTTTCTAGAACCCTTTGTGATCAGATACTGGTAGGATGGACATTTTCAGAATCTGCCTCTCCTGACCACTCAGTACTTGTGTTGACTTAGAGGTTCCTGAGCCTCAACAGATTGAGTTCTGTTGAACCAGAAGCTACTGTGGCCTAAAGAGTTCCACCTACACCCAGGCCAGGTATTTGCCCCATCCCCAGTCTTGCCTGGTCAAGTCACCAAAAAACTAGCTTGGCACAGATAAGTGAGACCTAAGCCACAGCCAGTTCTTGGGTTTGGGGTTCTAGTCTGTGATTAGGGCCAATCTGGTGGGCAGAGGGGTTTTAGCTTAGCCCAGGTAAAGGTGGGAAAAATAATCTCTTGTCCCTTTTCAGCCAGTTTTCCTCTCCTGGTTCTCCTTTCAGGAAGCCTGTAGTAGGGCTTGTGTTATCTCAGAGCTCCCCTCCGACATTTCTGCTCATATCAGGAGTGTTAGACCAGCCAAGTGGCTGGCTTCCAGACAAAGACTGCTGCTTCCTTCTAGAAAAACTACTCACGACCCCCAAAGAGAACCGGTGTCACCAGGTGAGGTGGAACATACCTGTAATCCCAGTGATTCTGGAGACTGAAGCAGGAGACTCACAAGTTCAAGGTCAGCCTCAGCAATTTAGCAAGGCCCTCAGTAATTTAATGAGACCCTGTCTCAAAAAATAAAAAAGGGCTGGGGATGTCACTGGGTTCAATCACCAGTACCAAAAAAAAAAAAAAAAAAAAGGAAAGAGAGAGAGAAACCAGTGAAAAAATGTCTCTTTTGTGACTTACTTTGGCCCCTGCTTTAGCTATTTACATCACAGCATATCTATCCATCTGTATATCTATATCCTTATATGTAAACACATATGTAAGTATGAAAGAACTATGTAGCAAGAATTGTTGAGTGCTTACTTCATGCCTGATGCTGCTACTGTTAGTACTTTGTATGTGTTATCTTATTTAACTTAATATCTCCATAACTCTATGAGACAGTATTAGGTAAATACTTTTAATATCCTAATTTTCCATTTCCTAGGCCTCAGAGAGGTTAAATAACCTACCCAGGGTTACACAACTCATATTTGAACCCATGTAATTTGACTCCAGAGCCTGTGATCTTGTCCACTATACTATACTACCACCCTATATTCTAGAAGATGTGACTTTCCTGGGGAATTCCAGTCCCATTGAGAGCCACCTAAGCCTTAGTTAAATGAGTCTGGATCCTCACTATCCCTCTCTCATCCCACCACATTTTTTTTCCTTTTGTTTGTTTTTGCAGTCCCATGGATTGAACTCAGGGCCTCACATGTACTAGGCAAGTGCATTACCCGTGAGCTACATCCCCAGCCCCCACCATATAGTTCAACTGGAACTTAGAGTCTCTTTCTTCTTTTTTCCCTCTCCACACCTCTAGCAACAACATGCTTAATTTTCTGTGAGGAATAGGCTAAGCCAGAATCTCCTGACCCCCAGGATGAATTTGTTCAGATGGAAGAGGATTCTGAGCCTGGGCAACCATGGCCACCATACCTGTGTGGCCCCTGGTGGCAGGGCCTGGAGGAGGCTGTACGGGTCCCAGCTGTGGTGCCTTTCAAAGGAAGACATTCCGAGTCTAAAAGCAGTCTCAGGGATCCCTGGGAATCTAGGGATCCAAGAGCTTCAGAATGTTATGTCAGCTGTTTGGAACCATGGGACCTGAGGCAGAGAAGTTACCGGGGTTCATGTGTAGACACCTTTGGTTAGGAGACCATTGTTAGCAAAAATAACTGAAACAGGAGCAGACCTCAAGTGGATCGGCAAGCAGTCTTTATTAAGGATGGATGCAACAGCACATTTTCAGGGGAGAAAATGGCAACTGTTTACAAGAGGGGTCTGTTTTTATAAGTCTTAATGAGAGTTAATCCTAACAGAATGTTTAGTGTGACTTAATCATTAGAGACTTGGGACGTGCTGGCTGGGCAGTCTTTAAAAGGCTAAACTGCTCTGTACTAAATTTGGTCACGCAGCGCTCCTCATTGTGTAGGTTAAAAATCTAACTCAGGGAAACAGCTGTAAAAGCTTGAAACTCACTGTTACTGGGATGAAAATCCAAAGCCACAGCCCAGAGTCCATTTGTTTGCCTTCCCCTCCAGGACCTGTTGCTGGGAAAGGATGAAAGACTAAAGCCCAGAGCCTAATGATTACCTCCTTCCTCCCTGGCTCAGTGTCACTGGAAAGGGATGAAAGTCCAGGACCCAGGGCCAAATGTTTACCTTCTCTCTCCAGGGACCCATTGTCACCATTGTCCTCCCTTCTCCCTGGGGACTGTCATTCCCCTTTTCTTGGGGGATGTTATTTTCCATATCCTTCAGCCATGGATTCTGCCCTTGTGTCTAGAAGCTGTCTAGAAGGTTTTTTTTTTTTTTTTAGTGTATTCTAGAACAGGGACCTAGGCTCAGGGGAGAAGGCCACTGAAACCAAATGGTACAGAGGCTGATCCCAGGACTGAGATAGTTATGTGCATTCAGTCCCTGCTTCCTCTTCAGGGAACAATGAACATTACTGGCAAAAAGCCTGAGAGAGAAGAATCTCAGGAAGCTGAAGAGCTGCTCTCAGCTAATTGGGCATTAGAGGTTGGCTAGGGGGGCTTCACAGCCTGAGGTCCCAGAAGATGATGACTCTTCCAGGTAACAGTGAGAATGAATTAAAATTAATGCATCTTCCTTTTTAGGACTCCTAATAGTTCCTAATAGTATCTCTTGCTTTTTTTTTTCCCTACAGAATAACTATTGTTTTACCCCATTAAATTATATATTTTTGGCCAGGTACAATGACACATGCCTGAAATCCCAGCTACTTGGGAGGTTGAGGCAGGAAGATTGCAAGTTTGAGGCCAGCCTCAACAATTTAGTAACACCCTGTCTCAAAAAGTAAAAAGGGCTGGGAATTTAGCTCAGTAGTAGAGCATGCCTGGGTTCAATCCCCAGTACTGCAAAAAGAAAACAAAGGGAAATATGTATACATTTTTAAGAGTGTTGTAATTATTTTGTATCCCTCTATCCATGGTGCCTAGCAGGGTGATATATATATATTTAGTAGTATCTGAATAAATGCTTGAATGCATGAATGGGAACTAAGTGAGAAAATGTGTGTGCATGTCTGTGTATGTGGGTGTGTACTGAGGGTGGTTACTGCTGGAGGAAAAGAGGAAAGAAGAGGTGGGTTGAACAAAAAGGACCTAGGATAAGAATAAGTATAAATAATTCTAAAACTTCAAATTGGCTAGGCTCTGTGGCACATGCCTGTAATCAGAGCAGCCCAGGAGGCTGAGGCAGGAGAATTTCCAGTTCAAAGCCAGCCTCAGCAACTTAGTGAGGCCCTAAGCAACTTAGTAAGACCCTGTGTCTAAATAAAATATAAAAAGGGCTGGGGATGTGGCTCAATGGTTAAGCAACCCTGCACCAATGTACCAGATAATTCCTGGTACTAAACAAAATAAAACAAAACAATTAATAAATAAATACTATGTTTCTCTTGTATCAGCTAAATGTTTTCATATATATGACAATTTAGTGTCCATAACAATCCTACAAGGAGCGGGGGAAGTTGTTATTTTACTGACAGGAGAAGCTAAGTCTCAGAGGAGAGGAAAATTTTCCCAAAGTTATATGACCAGAAAGCAGCAATACCAGGTCTGTTTGTCTGAAGAGTGCAAGCTCATATCTTTGCAACCACACTGCTGTCCAGCCTCCTCGGTTGTGTGTTCCCATAGCCTCTGTACTTCTCTTTTGAGGCATTTTGCAGACTTTTAATTAGTTAAGGATTATTTGTTTAATAACTGTCTTCACTGGTAGATCCTAGGCTCCCAAAGGACAAGGACCAAATTGATTTACATCCTTATTTACATTCCCTGTTCTCACAGCAGTCACCTGTCACATAATAGGCACTCAATAAATACATGTTTATCACGGCCAACCCCTAACTACTGACACTTACATGAAAACCCCTAAGGTTCTCTAGTCCTTTTCCATTCTCCCATCTACCTGCCGCACTTTTGTCCTCCAGTCTCACCAGTCAGCACCTTTTTTTGCCTAAGCTGGACTAGTGGGCATGAATGCCACGGCCAAGTTTTAGTCCCAGACGATCCCTGAACTCAGCAAACGCTGATCAAGTGACTGTCTCTCTCTGGCTTAGGATGGAAAGATGCCAGGAAAGATCGAAGCATCTACCCCGATGGTTTACACCAGGGCTTCTAGAAGGGATTTTGTGGCAGGAGGGAGGGGGGCAGGAGATTGAATGTCTGTGAGTTGCGCAGGGCAGCATGATGGATGAGTGGTGGAAAGCCCTTTGATGCGACATGCCAGAGCCATTGCAATAGTATCTCTCCCAATGGCCCAGAATTGTATTTCTCTGAAGACATGTTAAATTGTGCTCTGGATTTATATGTGGGTGGCAACCTGCTGGCTCCTCCTCAATGCTCCCCAAGGAGGTCTTTCTACAGATGCCCCAGCAGAGGAAGAAAGATGAGAATGGACGCAGGGTGGAACCCTCTTCCCTAGAGCCTGGGGGCTCATGGAAACTGACAGCTCTTTAAGAGTTTCCAGAGTCCAGTAGATCCCATGCTGTTCCTCAAACAGACTTCCAGTTTTCAGTTTGGGTGCACTGTGAAAGGGGCTTATTCCTGCCCTCCACCCTCAACCCACACTGACCCCTGCCCTCTCTCTGGAGGTCAGACACAGCCTGTGATGCTTAGCATTCAGCTTCGCCTTGGTTTAAGAGAATGAGTAGGTGGAGCGTAGCATGGCTCCTGTTAAAATCAAGTGTGTTTCCTGGGGCTATAAACACTTGGGTGTCCCCCGCACATTACCAAATACAGTAGAAAGGAGTCAATGAGCCACACGCTGGCCACAGCAACATCCACCTGGCAACAGAGAAGCAAAGTGCGTTTGACCAGGGCATGCCTTGGGCTGGCCAGTTCCTGAACTCACATGTCCTCGTCCTGCTTTTCTGGCTCTCCGGGCTGCGGTCCGCTTCTTCCAGACTCCGCATTTTTGTCTCTCTTTCTCATTGCATGCCCCCCTTGTCTTTAAAAGGCTAAACTGCTCTGTACTAAATTTGGTCACGCAGCGCTCCAAGATTCCCTGGAATGTCCTCAAGTTTCAAACAGCTCTGACAGAGAGGCAGGCCCGCCCCCAGCTTGGGGATTGGCTTCTCCTTTCAGGGCAGGCAGTTGCTGGGTCTTATTGGCCACTGGTTAGACCAGGCAGGGTCCGCTAGCCCTGGGCTGCAGGGAGGCTGCTGTGTCCACTGAGCACCTGTGGCTCGGCGGGGCCAAGGAGCTGCAGTCCTTGACCAGCTGGAGGTTTGCTCCTAAGCCTCACTTGGCTCCATCCAGATCTGCCCCCCTGACCCTTCCCTGCCCACCAGCATTCCCATAGTCCCGGCAAGAGCCATAGCCCACTTTGCCAATATGTCGAAGGTAGCCAAGTATCGCCGGCAGGTGAGTGAAGACCCTGACATCGACAGTCTGCTGTCCACCCTGTCCCCGGAGGAGATGGAGGAGCTGGAGAAAGAGCTAGACGTGGTGGACCCAGATGGGAGCATTCCCGTGGGGCTGCGACAGAGGAACCTGACGGACAAACAGTCCACGGGCGCATACAACCGGGAAGCCATGCTCAACTTCTGTGAAAAGGAGACCAAGAAACTTATTCAGAGGGAGATGTCCATGGATGTGAGTGACATACCCTGGAGGGAAGAGGGAGGAGGGAGGGCTGGGAACCCTGACTCCTTGGCTAGGATGCATCTTTCCTCAGAGGAACTGCTCTCGATGGCAAAGGATTAGATGCTTTAGAACTATCATCACTAGACTAGCAGTGTGAATCTCCCACCCCTAATTTCTGTTGTATAAGCAGAAGTTGTATGCTGCAGGAATACAGCCTCTCACAAAACAAACAGCGCTACCAGTAGAAAGGGAGCTGGGAGGTGTCCTTGAAGTATTTGTTGTCCAGTTGACTTCATCCTGGTCCCTGACATCTGTTTTCTCCTTCATGTTCATCTCATCCTATAGGGAGGAGGGACGCAAGAATAGAATGCTTGCAGTTTCCTGCCAGCTACCAAAGAAGAGAAGCTAAATCCTCCTTGTGAAACAAAGAGTCATCTTTCCCCTGACCTATGAGCTCCTCATAGCATAGAAACTATTCAGAGAAGCTTGGGATGGGGAAGATGGGCTTCCCAAAGCCAGGATCTATGGGCTGGCACATGTCTTAACCCGAAAGCTTCCCTTTTATTCCCAGGAAGGGTGAGGTGCTGTGTCTTCCTTCCTTCCTTCCTTCCTTCCTTTCTTCCTTCCTTCCTTCCTTCCTTCCTTCCTTCCATTTTCCACTCTCTGGAGAAGCCTGTTGAGGGACTATTCCCCCCCTTTTGGCATTCAGCCCTTTATAAATTAATTAAGTCGCTTTGCTAGGAATGCAGGAGAGAACAGAGGAAAGAAAGTAGTGACTGTTTGGGAGCATCTACCCACATCTAGGATGAAATGAAGCACGGCTTGCTTTCTGTTTTCCTGCGTTGGCATGGAGGAATTATTTTTCTTCACCATTTCTTTCATATATGAGTTTCCTTTGGACAAACAAAAGTGGCCTCCAATTGAGTCTGACTTTATGGGACTGCTTGGTCCATGGGGAAAAGGGCGCTAAGACTTTGCACTAGTTCTCTTCTTCTACTCAGCTCCGTCTCTTGCACAGTATCCATTACTTGAGAATTCTTGCAGGAAAAAGTTCATTTTCAATCCTTGTCTTTTGTTTTACTTCTATGGACACCGAGGCACGCAACATCAAAGTCACATTCATTCCCACAGAGAAACTGGGAATGTCTGCATGGAATGTCTGGCTGGATATGCAATTGTGTTGACTTCTTGTCAGAGTACCCTGGGAGACATGGTCCTGACTTCTCAAGAGTAGGAATGAGAAAGTAGGGAGGAGGAGAGAAGGGGTAGAGGTAAAATAAGTGAAGGAGGTGAGACTCTGTCTCTGTCCTGCCACCCACTGAGCCAGTGTTTAAGGCTCTGCCAAGAAGTGAGGAGAGTGTAGGAAGCCGGGGGGTCCGGGTTGTTACCCTTGGGAGGGTGGTTGCCCCTGATGCAGTATGATAATGAAGAGTAAATGCCAAATCACTTATAGAAAAAAAATGACAGGATTTACTGCGAGGGCCTTCTGTCTCAGGACAGCTATCAGGAAATGTACAGAAAGAAATGAAATGCCACCAAAACTTTGGCAGCTCTGTGACTCCTGCCCTAGTCCCCAAACATTCTCTCTGGAGTTTGGCTCTGCTCTTCTCTCACTCGCAGTCCCTAGTCCCTGGGCCTATGGCTGCCTTGTGTCCAGTGGCTTCTGGAGGCTAAGGTCAAAGAGAACTTTTTTCTTTTCTTTTCTTTCTTTCTTTTTTTTTTTTAAACAATACTAGGGATCAAACGCAGTGCCTTGTGCATGCTAGGCAAGCGCCCTACTATTGAACTATATTCCAAGCCCTGAACAGAACAGGGCTTAGTAATGAAGTACAATGTTTAGGCCACAGAGAAGGCAAGTGACTCTTGTGCTCCTAGAACTTTCATTCTCCAGCTTTTCTGCTCAGCCAGTTAATACCATGGCCTGCCTCCTCTCCCCTGCCCCGCTGCCCTCCCCCTTACCAGTTCCACACTTGATCCTGCAGACAGAGCCAGGGAATAAAGGAATAAAGGGTGGTGAATGTGTGTGTGTGTGTGTCCTCAGGTTAAGGAGCTGCCTTCAAGGGGTGGGGGTCATGGCTTAGTGGCAGAGCACTTGCCTAGCATGCGTGAGGCACTGGGTTTGAATCTCAGCACCAATTATAAATAAATGAATAAAATAAAGATCCATTAACAACTGAAAAAAAAAGGAACTTCCTTCAGGATCATGGAGTTAGGCTGTTCTGATCCTCATACTCGTACACAGTTCAAGGGCATTCACTGGCGTAAAGGCTGGCTGGAGTTCAGGATGTATGCTAAACAGCGGGCAGAAGTCACATCTGCAAATCTGGGTGAATGGGAATGAACCATAAAAAAGTGACTTCTTTAACACCATTAGCAAAATAGTGAGTGTGGGGTCAAGGACTTAGATTTAAATATCAGAGAAACCTGATGTGACTGCGAGTGTCTCTCTTTTTTTATTTGTTCCCAGTGTTTCTTGAGAATAATAGCATCCACCTCATGGGACTGTTATGAAAACTGAGAGATGATAACAGAAAGCTCTTAGCACAGAGGCTGGCATATAATAAACAATAAATGGCAGCTACGAACCATGGATTCAGTTAGGTCAATTAACTCAGAAATTGGCCAAGTGAGCCAAAAGCAATCTCTGCTCCTTCTAGCCCTCCCTTCCCTCAGTTCCCTGGAGGTTTTGCAGGCCACACCTGTTCCTCAGTGTCCACAGCAAATGAACAAAGCCTGGTGCTTAGGTTGGGGACCACCAGTGCCACAGCCTCAGAACGGTGGGGCAGCTCCAGACTGCTGGACTGACTGCAGCAGCCCTCTCTCCTGAGATCTGCTGCAATGAGGAACCAGAAGATAGTGGAGCCAGAGAATGTGACGCAGTCTCACTGGATCTGAGGAAAAGCAGCAAGTTGAGCATTTACCAAGAACCTTCTACCTGTTAAGCTCATTCATCCTTTTTTCTTTAAGCCTCACAAGTCTTGGGAGATGGGTATTTTTACTCCCATTACACAGATGAAGAAAATAATTCTCAGGGAGTTTTAATAACCTCCCCCAATAAATGGCCTGCCTAAGATGTGTGACACCGGGGTACAAAAGGGCAATGGTGCCAAACCTTACTCTGAAGAATTTATGGCCCAGAGTCACAAAACACATACACATAGAACTACCAGAGAGGAGTGACAGATGAGTGGCTATGCAGTCATGTATTGTCACAGGAGCAGTAGATATCACATAGTCTCCTAACCCTAACCCTACCTTCGTAAGCAGGACCATGACTTATAAAACCAAGTATGGATGAGGGGAAGACAGCAGATGGTACTAAGGCGTTTTTGTTAATTCCTTTTTAGTGTGATGATGGGTCTATTTATAAAAGAATGCTTATCTTTTAGACATAAATCCTGAAATATTTATGGAGAAAATTGGATTAGGGAATTTGCTTTAAAATGTTCAGACCGGGAGTATAGATGGAACAAGATTGGTCACGAGTGTCTGATGGTTGAAGCTGGGTGATGGTCCACGGAGCTGTTCATTGTGTAGTTTTTCTCTACTTTGGTTGATATGTTTGAATTTTTCCATAATAAAAAAGTGTAAATAGAAACCAAGAGTGGGGGGCTGGGGTTGTGGCTCAGTGGTAGAGTGCTCGCCTAGCATTGAGGCACTGGGTTCAATCCTCAGCACCACACTAACAATGAAATAAAGATATTGTGTCCACCACCTACAACTAAAAAATAAATATTAAAAAAAAAGAGTGGGAGGGAGGCCAACTTGGGCCTTTCCTGGGGAGGGAGAGCCTTAAGGTTCAGATCCTAGCTGGGGTGGGGAGGTGGGGCTAGACTATGGGAGGGACCTACCTGCTTCTGCCTCAGCTGAGGATCTTCAGGACTGCTAACCACCTCTGTTGTCTTTTGTCAATATTCCCCCAGGCCTCTTCCAGGTCACCTCCTATTTTTCTTTCCTGTATCATATAACACTACTTGCAGGTAGACTTCCCTGATCCCCCCAAGCAAGGCTGGGCACCTGGTCTGGGCACTCCAGTTTCACCCTCAGGACTACCTTTCTTTCTTTCTCTTTTTCTTTCTTTCTTTCTCTTTCTTTCTTTCTTTCTTTCTTTCTCTCTCTCTCTCTCTCTCTCTCTCTCTCTCTCTCTCTCTCTCTCTCTTTCTCTCTCTCTTTCTTTCGGATTGAACTCAGGGACACTTGACCTCTGAGCCACATCCCCAGCCCTATTTTATATTTTATTTAGAGACAGGGTCTCACTGAGTTGCTAAGCACCTCACTGTTGCTTTGAACTTGCAATCTTCCTGCCTCAGCCTCCCACAGCAGTGTGGCCACCACTGCACAGAACATCACTTTTATTTACTTATTTATTATGCTGGGGATTGAACCAAGGCCTTGAGCATGCTGAGCTCCACCACTGACCAACACCCCCACCCCCTCTTTTCTGGAATTATTCATTTTATTGAGTATCTCCTTCTCCAATTTATGTGATTCCAAAAGGCAAATGCTAATGCAAGGTCCCATGGGTGCAGGCAAGGGGTGAGGGTGAGACTGAAGGTGGGCTTGGCAGAACTGACTAGGCACAGACAGCAGCTTCCACCCCAGTCCTCAGGGAGTTCTCTTTCAGCCCAGGTGGAAGACAAAGCCCCTGGGCAAGTGTGCAGTGGACGGTCCAGAGAGACGTCTAGCCTTGGCTCAGGTTTCAGGAACCAGATCCCAACAGGTCAACCCGTGCGTGTGTTTTCTTTCCTTCCAAAGTGGGAAAGAAAATCTCCAGCCTGCCTCTCTTTCCTTCTCTCTGGGGCTACAGGGGTGGAGGATTAGCACCTGCACACAGCCAGGGGCAGTGGCAGGGGCAGGGGCAGGGGCAGCTGAGCTACGGGGCAGAGGAAGCTCTTAAGTTCTTCCTAGAAGTGAACTTGAGAAACAAACCTGAGGTTGGGCCTGAGCCTCCGGTTGAGCATACAGCCTCAGCAGCCCCTCTCCCACAAGTCCAGGTTCCCTGGGGAGCG